GCATGCAATCCCACAACATGAACTTTCCGAAGCGCTGCTGCATGAGTGCGAGATCCCTCTCTGTGAACTTCTTCAGAGCACTTCCGCCTGTGAAGGGAGGCCGGCCAGAAGTAGCTACGTTGCTGCCGACGTTCGGAGCAGGCTGCTGGTAAGGCAAGTCGCATAGTCTTGCTTAAGGATACTGGATGGCTATGATCGAGGAGCAAGCTGCGACGGAGAAGCACGTTGAACCTGTGGCCAACTGCCGCTTCTGGGACGCTGGCCCTAAGATCATCACCGTGAAGATTCCAGGCGATGACCTGGCAGGGCAACCCACGTCTGGAACTTGGACAACGTACAGGGATAGAATCCGCACATAGTAGCAACTCAACGCGCAGGGGCGAACCCACTCATCCAAAGCATGAACAAATTCACGCCGACCTTAGCACAGCAACGTCAACAGCATGGACCTCATCATGCGTCTCAGTTGGCAAGCTGAGATTTGAAGAGACTGAATTGGCGCAACTGCTACTTCCCACGCCTTCTTCTCTAAAGTTCCTGCATGCATGACATCGCATGACCATCTTTCACTACACCTTTACGGCACACAGTTCGCTACAGCTTGCTACGGCACGCTGAGTGCCTCCAGGGTGTGGGAGAGACAAGTGGGGAGACACATGAGAACAACACAATAGCAACAGTCCCAGACGGGCGTCACAGCCTCCAGGGTGTGGGAGACAAGTGAGCAACAGTCCCAGACGGGCGTCACAGCATCCAGGGTGTGGGAGACAAGTTGGAGACAAATGAGTATAACAGAATAGCAGCAAGTCCCAGACGTGCGTCGCAGCCTCCAGGGTGTGGGAGACAAGTGGGAGACAAATAAGGATAACAGAATAGTAACAGTCCCAGACGGGCGTCACAGCATCGATCCTTACACCCTCTCTTGGGATGTCCTGCAAGATGCCGCCAAAGATGGACAGGTGCGTCGTTTCGCACCGCAGCACTCCTGCTGGGGGGTCTCTTCAGACATGACTCTCAGCTCCAAACCCCCCCCCCGAACAAAAAAATGCAAACCCATGGCAACCACAAGAAAATCCGAGACCCTTCGAAGTCGTTACAGAATGCAGGCTGCCCCGCCTGCTTCGACAGAAAGGGTGCGCACACCGTCAGTTGACCATGATGATGTTTCCTGGGGCACGGTGCATGGCGAAGGGTTTGGCAACCGGGAGGTTTAGGAAGGTAACCCGTGCAGCTTTTGCACGGGTTTTGGCCTGTGTACCGTGCATAGATGCTCGCTTGCTCGTTTAGATGCCTACCCGCTTGCAACGATGGTTCTCTACTGTGTTCTGATCTTCCAATACTTGCTGAGCTACCTCACCTGCATTCTTGCATCGTTTTTACCCTAAACCCCCGTCGAGGGCTCAGATCGCCCCGGCCACTTCAGTGCTGACTTTAGGGTTTAGGGTGTGGTCACGTCATTGGTGCTCGCTGGTGTGGAGCACACCCAGGCCGCTCGCACCCGTGCGTAGCAGACAGCCCACCCCAAGACCACCCTGAGTTCAAGCAATTTAGGGTTTAGTTCCTAAAGTCTTATGGGCATCCTGGCGGGGGCCTGGATATCACCGACGGGGGTCGTACTTTAAACGGGGCCCGGGCATGCCTAGGAATGTCAGAACGGCGCCGGGCAAAAAAAAACATGGCGGTGACTTTCTATGAGGCTGTTGTGGCAGGGGCAGCCTTGGCTTCCGTCCAAGCTTGCGGGCAGTCAGGGCTAAAGAGCGCAAGCAAAGTATTGTCTTTCTATGAGGCTGCTGTGGCAGGGACAGGCAGTCATCCTAAAAGCGCTGACTTTCTATGAGGCTGTTGTGGCAGCGTCCAAGCTTGCGGGGGCCCAGACAAGCCGCGCAGAAATGGTCGCAAATGGTCCGGAGAAGCCCAGCACGGGGAAAGCCCAGCTAGGCTCAGCCATGGGAAGCCCAGCCAGGGGGGGGGGCCGGCTGAGGGGGGGCCCTGGCTAGAGGCCCCGGCGATGTGCCAGCAAAAATCTCCGGGTTTAGGGTTTGTCCTTTATAACACCTCCGTGGAAGGGCCGACAGGGCGTCATTGGCGTCGGCAGTCGCCCAGCTTGACCTGCGCTCCATGACATCCTTTGCCGCGAAGCTCGGGCCGCTTCGGGCTCCGCGTGGCAGTTGTCGAGCACTCAGCGAAGACTTTAGGGTTTCACTCCAACGCTCCAGCTAAACTTGTAGGACTCACACGCATTCTGATTTGTCAGCCTATTGCTGCTGAAATGACGCCTCCCCCACCCTAGCCCAAAATCCTTAAACCCAGAACCCTGAATCCCCTAGTGTACCATCTCTTGCATCCACGAAGAGACCTTGTACTCTAAAGGACCCAGACCACAAGCCCAGAACCTGAAGCGCAAATACTCAACACATGTTCAACCTCAGCCCCAGAAGGTGGGTTTGGGGGGCAAACTTCAAAAACTCAAAAACCCAAAACACTTAAATACTAGACTCCTGGCAGCTGACCCTCCTCGGCCCCACCTCTGGGTTGCCATCCCACTGATCGGGGACCAAGTCCGCATGACCTACAAGTATGCGCAATACTTCATACCATAGCATACCTATACTATAGTGCACTATAGCATAGTATACTACACTATCCTGCAGTATAGTGCACGCATAGTACACTACACTATCCTTCAGCAGTATAGTATGGTACAAAACGACTTTTACGGTTTGAGGAGGGTGACAGGGTTGCAGTCAGTTCAAGGCGGTATAGTTAGTAATCCCTTCCCCTGTTAATAAAACCACCCTAATAGCAAACACTATTTCTTTGGACCCCAAATTTCCTGTCAGGCCCTGAGGACTACTTTTAATCCACTCCAACGCTCCTAAACTTGTATTCCCTATATCTTGCTGTAGAACACGTAAGGGTTTAGGCATTGGGTTTGGGTTTTGGATTTCCCGCTTGCGAGGGTTTGGGGATTTAGAGGTCTTTGTTGCGAGAAGCTCCAGGTGCGCAGAAGGGCCGTAAACCCTGAATTCCGGCCCGAAGTGTAGACTAGACATGTTTTGGCGTCAAGGCCAACAAGCACTGAACTCAAAGGCTTCTTGGTAACCCTCACAAAAATTAATCATGATCATAATAAACAACAATAAACATGCTAGTCAGAATAAGAACAGCAACAATCTACATCATGACTCCTGGCAAAAACAAAGTTTCTTCATCTAAAACCTTCAAACTAAATCCCAAACTTGCAGTCCATGGAAGTCCGTGATATGAGTTTCCCTGCAGGAGGAACCTTATGCTGTCTGCGACAGCAGCTCTGAGGATGAGGCAGATGATTGCAAAAACGAACTGACTCAAAGCAGGTACTAGGATCTCAGTGTTCATTTGGGGTTCAGAAAGCTTGAAAGTTGGACTCCCCGCAGACGAAACGAGCTCCACTCTGGGTTCAGGGTCGTGGTTGAGGTACTGTCTGAGGAAATGGTGGAGGTTATGAGGTTGCGGAGTCCATTCGGACTCCCCGCATCCAGGCAAGCGCAAGCAAAGTCTGCAGAATCTTTTTCGCGAGGCTGCAGAACACATCCAGCAACTTCAAGGCATCCAGCACTGCCTGCAAAGTTCCTTCAGCGTGTGAAAGAAGACATCAATGGCTGTAGCACAGCATTGACGAAGGTTGTTGTGGCTGGCCATCCGTCAAACTGCATGCCAAACTGAACCGGCTTGTCTCGGCCAGCCAAATCAGCCATGAGGATCCGAATGTCCTTCTCCTGCGAAGCCCGGCTGAATACTGGTTGTCCCAGAAAATCGATCCACTTAAAGTCTTTTTCATCGAGCAGAACTACATTTGCGAGGCGTGGGTCTCCATGCACGAAACCTTTTAGGTGTAGCTGGCGCAAGGCTTCGACCAAATCTCGCCACCTCGCCCGGGCCATGTCCACTGGTACCGGGGCACCAACATCACCGAGGATGTGGAACCATCCCAGGAGCTTGCCTCTATCTACAACCTCAGTGCAGTTTGATGAAGGAGCCACAACTGGGCAGCCCAGATCGCAGGCCTTCTTCATGACTTCGACCTCTTCTGCAGGGCTGAATCCGAATGGCATGGTGGCCTTTGCAAGAACGGCCTTGATGGCAACGCGCTCAATGCGCTCATTTCGCTCTCGTTGAGCTTCCAAGACACGTCCGAATGCTCCTCTGCCCAGGAAACCAACGGGAACAGCGCCAGCCTGTCGCAGAGGTTCCCGCAACAACCGTTCCCATGGAGAGTACTGAGAAAGAAAATCGCGTAGCACCTCTTGCCCTCCGCGGTCGGACCACGCCCCATAAATCCTTTGTGAGAGTGCTTTGCGGGTGTTGCGTTGCTCAGCTACGTATAGAAGCTCAAAGCCGATCCTTTCAAGTACCATGCCCCTTGAATGCTCGGAAGAAAGACGCCAAAGATATTCGTACAGCTGACCGCGGCCATCATCTCTGATCGCCATCTTCGCTTCAATTATATCCAAACAATCCAGCAGCTCCTCACGCGGCGCGCCAACACCTGTCATGTTGGCGGGATCTTTCTTGCACACTGCATCGAAACAAATCAGGTCGCAGTCTCTTTCCAATCCAAGCGCGATCTTGTGAGTCAACGATTTGGTCGCGCGGAAACAACGACGTCAAGATGGACAAGATGAACTTGACCAGTTCCCTCTCGCTCGCCACCATTTCAAGATTGCGGAGTTGCTGTGCATCAAGAACGGGGTTGCCAGTGTTGCTGTCTAGTTGTTCATCTTTAGTGGCTGGTCCATACACCTGTTCCCACAGATTGGCCCTCGAGATCGTCAGGCCGTTACTTGCAGCCAATGCTCTCGTCACCGCTGCTTCCACTGATTTTTCTATTAAAGCGATGTCTTTCGCAGTGCTTTCAACCTGCAGGTAACAACACAACAACTGACGTTAGATACCTTTGCTGGAGCAACTTCTGTTCAAGCTGGAGCGTCCGTGAGTTGAAGGCACTAAGAACAACAAACCTAGGGTTGACATTTCTCCAAGGCAACGCAGAAGCCCCTGCAGGCCTGCGCTCCTGCCTGGGCCTTGCACTCCTGCTTGGCCTTCTCGAGTTTCGTCTCGGCATTCTCGAGCTCCTGCTTGGCCTCCTTGAGCTCCTGCTTGGCCTCCTTGAGCTCCTGCTTGGCCTTCTCGAGTTTCGTCTCGGCCTCCGTCGCCTTTTCGCTGTTGTCGGCTTGAAATTCTTGTAGCCACTGCCTCCGCAGGGCTGCAACCACTTTGTCTAGTTCTTTGACCGAGTTTTCTGCCCTTTCGTTCTCGTTTAGTGCCAGTTCTCGCGCTCGTCGGGCTGCAGCCAAATCCTGCCGGGCGCAGGGGTGCTTTGTGCTTTTGCCGGCGTGCGTGCCGAACACGTCTGTTTTCGGTTTTTGGCCGGAGCCTCCTCGTTCTCCTGAATTGTCTTCTGCCGCTGCTCGTCCTGCACCAGCAAGCACAGGCCACAATCTGCAATTGGCGAACTTCCAAGAGCCAGCAACTGCTCTCACGCATCCTGGCTTCGGCATCTCTGCACGTGGCCCACAACAAGCAAGGAAGCAAGCAAAGCACCTCAGCAACAACACCCTCGGAGGCACGGCCTTCTTGGCATCTTCGACCGGGTCAGCGGTCTGCGCTGGGGCAGCCTGCAAGCATGAGACCATCCCAAGCATCCTCGAAATTCGTCTGAAGCTCCCTGCCCCACCTCAGTCTTGTCATCCTGCTTCGCCAGCCGAGCCCCTTCGATGCAAAATCCGAGCAGATCTTGAAAGGACAAACTACTCTCGCCTTGTCTTTATTGTCGTCAGCTTCACCACCTTGGAAAGCCTGCGCTGTTCAGGAAATGACACGCTCTCTGCTCTCGGGCGCCTGCCTGGCGTGCTACGGGCGGCTTGCGCGCCCAGAAGCCGGGAGGAGCCGACCTCGCGCTAAAAGTCTTCCGCGCTGTCACCTGTCACACGCCCCGCCTCGCAATGCGCCCAGCACTGGCTCCGGCAAAAGCCCGCAACGGCGGCACTGTCTGCCTGATGCGATCTCTCATACTGTGCAACTGACTGGGCGGTGAAATGTGTGTTTCTGGGGCTGCGGCAGGCACACCAAGGACCATGCCAGCGCAAGCAAACGGGGCTTGCGCGGCGCCGGTGAAATGCGTGCCATGGCTGCGCTTGTAGGTCCTGGCCCTACTTTCCTCAACAAAGCTCGAGCAATAAGGACACGCTCGAGCAAATTTGCGTGACACCCCATGCGACGTGAAAAAGTGCATTCCATGTAAAACACACGCTCGAGCAAATTTGCGTGACACCCCAACCGGCCTCGAACTCCATCCACAGCACACGCTCGATGTTGTCCTGGACCGAAACACTACCCATTTGAGGTAGGATCTGCAGCTTCATTTCCACGTGAATCCCCGAGCAAGCCCCAAAGTCATGGCTTTGATTTCTGGAATGCAAGTCCTTTTGAAGGCCTTCTAGGCCCTTTGCGAAGTCCCTGAAATCTGGGCCTGGCCGATGCGGGTGTGGGAGACAAGTGGGAGACAAATGAGTATAACAGAATGACAAGGTCCTAGACGGGCGTCTCAGAATCCAGGGTGTGGGAGCCAAGTTGGAGACATGAGGATAACAGAATAGCAGCAAGTCCCAGACGTGCGTCGCAGCCTCCAGGGTGTGGGAGACAAGTGGGAGACACAGGAGTAAAAGAATAGCAAGAAGATAAGCCTCTGCAAAACGAACAACTTGAAGCAGCAAGTGTTGGCTTGTGATTCCTTTACACAGGCGGCTCCGTTCATGCCTGAAGTGCGACTGGCAGAGGTTGTTGTCCACTGTCAAAGACGGCTCCTGGACATGAAAGGCCAGCCAATTCAGAGCTGGCCATCACAAGCTTGATGAGGTAAGTAGTTTCTGGAAATGAAGGTCCCGCTGTATACCAAATATCATGGACTCTCAATTATTCAGGATGCATCTTTTTTGAGAAGCTGCCAGGCCACTTTTGCAGACTCTTGCATCGGTATGCGCCCTCAGCAGGCAGCCTTTGCGAGCTTCCGTACTGTTCTGATCATCCAGCCCAGAGAGCGCAGCAAAGCAGTTCAGTCCGATTAGTTCCTGGGGCATCCACCAGCATCAGTTCCTTGAGCTTGTCTGCCATTTCCTGACGGAGGCCAGCGCAGAAAGCACCTGGCTGGCAAACACCAGACCCAGCGTCCTGTTTGAAGGTACTTGGCAACCTCTCCGCCCAAGACCTTGGATAATTTGCATACCTGGGCCCCGCGCAGCGCAGACTCTGCATCGATGTTCTCAGGACCAGCTGAATCAATGGTTCATTGCCCAATGCCGAGGGCTCCATGTAGACCTTGGCACATTCACCCTCTATACTGGCTGCAAGAAGAAGAACGAAAGTTCCCGGCCATCCCGCATCGACTGACTGTGGCAGGGGAGGCAACTGAGAGGTCCTCCACCTCGAAGACCACCCTGGCTGCAGCATGTTGCTGTGGGTTCAGAGGGCTTGCAACGTCAGGAGATGCAACGCGGCCGCTTCAAGCGCAATCCCCATCTGAGCTTAGCGCGCGTCCTCGACATGTGCTAGCAGCTAGCACGGCAATGGGGAACGAACACCGACGCATTTTAGCAGTCTCCACTGCAAGCTAACTTGGCCTCCTGCGGTACCACCCCCAACTTTTTGCAACCATGAGGCAAGTAGGTCTAAGCAGGTGAAGGCGGCAAACGGCGAGAACGGACAACATGCTTGGGGACAAACATCCATGCACCTATGAGATCTGCCCCCGCACGAGCAAGCAAGATGAAAGCAGGCTTGCTGCACACCATCGGCGCGCTAACAAGAACGACGGCCTAAGGCCACCCATAGAGAACCACTTGGAAGGAGTCCTTTCTTCAAGCCCAAGCGCGCTGCAGCAATCAATTCTAGGTCTGCACATTCATGCGCACTGCACAAGTTCACTGAACCTTTAGCTACACAGCGGACTCTAGCAAACTTTTACACGCAACCCAGAATTTGCCAGCTCACCCTAGACATAAACTGGCTGCACATTCACGAACTGATTCATGACCTAACGTGAAACATGGAAAACTCAAGACTGACGTGAGGAAACATGCAAACAGAAATTGTCACGGAACAAAATCAATGATAAAGTCACATCCTGTTTTCGTGTGGCTGTTCGAGGAGGGTTGACTTGCCTTGCTCTCCCCCTGAAACCCCGCCTCTCAAGAGCTCTTGCCCTTGCCCTTGCTTCCCTTCTTGCCCTTGCCCTGGACCCAGGTCAAAATGATCCAGGGTTAATGGTTTTGAGTCTAGAGCCTCGATTTGCTCACAAAACAAAGACCCAACTTGCAGGACTTTGCCATCTGGCTTTGCCTCAAACTTAGGATCTTTTTCCACCCTCCAACGAACAAGGGCCTTACTCGGCTTTTCAGTTCTGTCCCCACCCAGATATTCAGCTGAGCCTCAGCCCAAATCAAAGCAGTAAAACATCCTGGCGCCCTTTTCGTGCCACCATGTGCCTCAACGATGATTGTTCCCATACTCCCACCTTAGACGCTTGGCTGACAGCTTGGCGATTCTTGTACTTTCGGCAGCGTAATTCAGAAGTAGAGCTCAGAAGTCAAAGGATAACGACAGGATTATCGCAGGAGAATCGCAACAACAGCGCAGGGTTGTTACAGCCAAAGTCACAGCTATTGCAAGTTTGTACAGGAGAGAAGATCTATAAGGACCACTACCAGTGCCTCTCCAGCACTTGCCAAAAAGTGGAGAATCGGATACTCAACCATGGGGAGACATGCAACTTCTGCAGTAACATGAAGTGGAGCAAGCATTATCCATCTCATCATAGGCAATGGGAGCCAAATCACCCAGCGCAAGTCACAGCCGAAACCGCAGCCCGTCCAGCTACTTCTGTGATTTCTGCTGTGATTTTGGCTGCGACGGCCCTGCGGTCATCCTGCAGTTTTCCTGTGATTTTCTTGCGGTGCCCCGGTCATTATCCTGTGACTTGCACGAGCTTTAGATTTGAAGCATAAAGCCGAGATCAGCCAAGTCACAGGCCTCCAGCCAATTCTGTGGCTTCGGCTTTGACGTCGGCTGTGGTTTGGACGTGACTCTGGCTGTGATTTAGCTGCGGTTTGGGCTCCAATTTGTTGGTGGCTTGTCACTGACACCCCCGGAGTTTCCATGGAGAAGCACTCATGAATCTGAGGCCAAAGCCATCCAGGTCGAGTTCGCCGTACCGAACCAAACCGGCGCGCGTCGATGACTTGGTTGGTCTCGTGGAAGCCGCCCTCCACCTGTCTTCAATGTCTGTTGCGCGAACATGGCCAAAGCGTGTCTGCTGGGAGCGGCACTGTATCAAAGATCTCCAGAGTTCGAAGCACCACCAAGTCAAACTGGTCGAGCCATCGCGGCGCTCCGTGCCGAGCTCTCGGGCCACAGCATCACGCTTGTCTACGGTCTACTTGTGACTTCTTTGGCTTGTTGAGCCTGCAAGTCTTGGCTGGCCACGCCTTGCTGAATGAATTCAGCCTCGCAGCATTATCCAAAGTTCAGCAAAACCTGGACCGGCTGCGCATCTGGGGTCGGCGCAGGTTCGGAGATCAGCAGGACGTGGTCGAACACCGATCTGCAAAGGCACAGAACATCGCCTCGGGAGACCTGGCCAAGAATGCGGATCCATGCACACAACACGACAGCGTTGAACCATCCCTGAGCTTCCCTCCTGCAGCGGCAGTTCTTGGTTTGGACCCAGCTCTGACCAAACTTCCGAAGCACCTGGTCCGGGGCATCACTACTACTGTATGACTGCCGCGGCTGCGGACATAACAAACCGAGCGGGGCTCTCGGGCGCAGAAGCATCGTCCGCACCTGCGCGGCAACAGGGGCGAAACGGCGAATGGGAGAAGCCCGGGCGACAGGCCTTCGCGGCTTGCTTCGTACCTCAACGGCACCTGGCAGCCACATGCACATGTTCACGAAAGAAAGGACTCAGGGGCAGGGCCTGCGCGGCCTGCTTCCATGTGGTTTTCTTTCAAAGCCTCGCCGACACCTGCGTGGCGACAGCATGCGCCTGGTTTGCAAACAACTCAAATGGAGGGCCCTGGTGGCTTGCTTCCATGTGGACTCCTCCCGAAGCGTTGCTGGCACCTGCATGGCGCCGGGGACAACGTCTGCTGGGAAAAGCAGCTGGGCAAGCCTTCACAGTTTGCTTCCACGCCGTCGCCTGGCAGAGCCTGGACACCTGCACAGCAGCAGCTCGTGTTTGACTCAGCGCGAGGTCCTTCGTGGCTTGCTCCCATGTCGGAGCAAACCTCCAAAACCTCAACCTTGCTGGCGCCTGTCTAGCAAATGCACACGGCGGCGCAGATGACAAGGAGCCGGGGCTCGTGGCCTTCCAACGCTTCAGCAGGGAAGTGGCCTCGAGCCCACACAGCTGAGGAAGAACTGCAAATGATACCAGGCAGTGAGCAAAGGAGCCTGGACATCGCAGGCATCAACACAACATGGCACGGAGTGTTCCGCTCATGGTGCCAAATTGAGCCTCAAAGACCTGCTGCATCTCGGGGCGGGGCAGTCCGTGACGAACATGAAGGTGCTTTTGCCAGGACAGTTCTGCCTAATGTTGGCTGTTCCGTCTGTCCTAGGATTCTGCGTCAATGTACGG